TCAGTTCCCTCAAAAACTCATCACATGGAATGGTTTCCCATCCTCAACCACTATCTGCTTCTGAATGAATACCTTCTAGTTTATCAACATTATTTCTGAAACAAGGCACCAAGAAGAGAACACAGTACTCCTGGAGTGCTCCAACTAGGTAGTGTACAGTAGAATGCCTGCCTCCTTCATTTGGGACCCACTTGACTTGTCTGCAGCACTGGATATCATGGACCACTTCCACCTTCTTAAGTCTCTTCTTTCTCTTTTTGCTTCTGAGACATCAGTGTTCTGCTTCTCCTCCCACCTCTTGATCCCTGGCTATTGTCTTCAAAGCTGACATCATTTTCTCCCCAAGCCCAGAATTTCCTTCTGACATCACTCTTTCTTTTAACGTCACTAACACTTACTCATGATTGAAATGCTTCTTTTTATAGCCAGTTACCAAGTCCAGGCATTTTACATCCCTGATCCCTCCCATTTGCCATTAACTTTATTCCCATTGAAACCTACCCCTCCATTACAAACTCTTACTTCTTGGACAACTGACCATAGCCTGGAGCACTTTCCGACCTAGAGTCCCTATTCTGGGGATTGTTCAGTCATTTTTCAGTTTTGTGTAACTCTTCGTGATACCATTTGGGGTTTCCTTGGCAAAGATAACTAGAATGATTAGTCATTTCCTCCTCCAGCTTATTTTACAGATGAGGAAACTGAGGCAAACAGGGTTAAGTGACTTGCGTAACGTCACACATCTAGTAAATGTCTGAGGCCAGATTTGAACTCTGGAGGATGAGTCTGATTCCAGGCCCAGTTCTCCATCCACTGTACCACCTAGCTGCCCCCTTTGTGGATGAGTAACTGCTAATAAACAATTTTAATACAACTTCAACCATAATCAAAACAACTCTATGGTTTTGCCCATTAGAATGTAAGCTCCTTGAGGACAAGGGCTGCCTTGGCTTTTATCTTTGTATCCTTGGGACACAGGGCAGAGCTGTAAGCAATTAATAATTTTTTTTCATTGTCATCCCCTAAAATCCATCCTGCATACAACTTTCAGAAGTATCTTCCCAAATATAAATTTGATCAATTCATTCTTATTAGCAGCTTCCTACTACTTCCAGAGTCAAGCTCCAACCCCATCTGTCTGGCATTTGAAGCTCTCCACATTCTGATGTCAACTTATCTCCTCTTCCACCTATTCTTTACTCCAGCCAAACTTGCCCCCCCCCCCCCAGAAAACAGCATACTTTCCTGCCTCAGTGTCTTTGTGAATGCTCTTTCTAGGTGCCTGCAACGTCTTTCCCACCTATTTGACTGCTGGGAATACAAAAATACAAAGATAGTCCCTGCTCTTGAGGAATTCACAGTCTAAGAGAGAGACAACAGGCAAACCACTATGTACAAACAAGATCTGGAGTCATCTTTTAAAGCCCAGTGTTGATGCCCCCTCTTCCTTGAAGTCTTCCTTAATTCCCCCCCTTCCCCTGAATACTGTTAGTAACTTTTCTCCAGTCAGACCTCACACAGTTTTCTGTTTATAGAGCTCTAAGGTAACACAGGGCAAAGAGCACAGGACCTGGGGAGTCAGGAGACCTGGGCCTGACCTCTGGCTCTGCTACTTAGTCTTGGGTAACTTGACTTCTGAGTCTATTTCTTCACCTGTAAAATAAGCAAGTCCATTCCAGTCCTAAATCCTATTTTAACTATGGCCTGAGAAAAGACAACAACCAAGACACAAGGGAGAGTGAGATGAAGTTCAAAGGGGGCAATCAAGGCAAAGTACTGTGGGAAACCTGAAAAGTGAGAGCTCAATATTGGGCACTGCTGGAAAGCAAAGACTTCAATAGGCTGAAATGGGCTACGACAGTCAATTCCAGGAACAGGAGAGAGCACTTTTTAAAGGCTCACAGAGTAAAAGAATAAACAAGTCATATGCATTTCCCTCTGATGGGTAACAGATACAGGAAAGAATATTTTGGTTTTTGGGACCCTTCAAAAAGATTTTCAGCAAAACTATTTCAATTCATTAATATGCAAATCAAAATAGAGCTGATAGCCAGGCAATCTTAATTCTGGCACATACAGGTCCCTCTTCTTCTGTGCCCTAGTCTTAAAATCCATATGTATTGTCCATCTTTAACAAGTTATTTGTTAACTACCAACACTATTTGACCCAGCATCAGGCCCAGTACATTTTGGTACTACTGGCTTAGCATACGGTGGTGTAATTTTAGTGCTTCCCTGAAACTCTGCTCAGTCAGTCAATCAACAAGCATTTATTTGTTAAATGTCTACTATGATGCCAGGCACTATACTAAGTTCTGAGGATACAAAAATACAGAGATAGTCCCTACCCTTGAGGAATTCACACTCTAACAGAAAGATAACACGCAAACCACTATGTACAAACAAGATCTATATGGGGTAAATAGATGTTAACCAACAAAGGGAAGGCACTAGCATTAATGGAAATCAGGAAAGACTTCTCATGCAGAAGGTAGGATTTGAGCTGGGAAGTCAAGGAAGCCAGAAGATAGAGATAAAAAGAGAGAATTCCAGACATAGATCACAGTCACTGAAGATGTCTGGAGTTGGGAGATGATAACCTATGTAGAAAAAAATAGTAAAGAGCCTAGTTTATTTAGATCCTATGTGGGGGGAATTTGTGCAGGGGTATGTGTACCCCAAAAAATGGAAAGGTGGGGGCAGCAGCCAGTGATGAAAGACTTTTAATGAAACAGGATTTTATATTTAAAATCAACCAATAAACATTTATTAAGCACCTACTACGTGCCAGGCACTATGCTAAGCACTGGGGATATGAAAAGAGGCAAAAAGACAGCTCCTGCCCTCAATGACTTTACAATCTGATGGGGAGACAACCAGCAAATAAATCTATACAAAACAAGTTACATATAGGATAAATAGGAAATAGTTAACAGAGGGAAGGCAATGACAATAGAAGTAGTTGGGGAAGTCTTACCCTTGAAGGTGGAATTTTCAAGGAAACTTAAAGGAAGGCAGGTAGGTGGCCCAGTGGATAGAGCTTCAGCTTGGGATCAGGAAGACCTGAGTTCAAATCTAGCCTCAGATACTTACTAACTGGGTGACCCTGGGCAAGTGACTTAATCCTGTTTGCCTCATTTTTTTTAATTTGTAAAATGAGCTGGAGAAGGAAATGGCAAACCACTCCAGTATCTTTGCCAAGAAAACCTCAAATTCAGTCACAAGGAGTTGGACAAGACTGAATAAAAGTTCAGTTTTTTTTTTTTTATCATATCGGCAGTTATGTGGTACAGTGGATAGAGCATTAGGCTTGGAATCAGGAGGATTCATCTCCCTGAGTTCAAATCTAGCCTCAGATACTTACTAGCTGGGTGACCGTGGGCAAATCACTTAATTTTGCCTCAGTTCCTCATTGGTGAAATGAGTTGGAGAAGGAAATGGCAAACCACTCCAGTATCTTGGCCAAGAAAACCCCAAATGAGGTCACAAAGAGTTGGACATGATTGAAAAATGACTAAACAAAGGAAGGCAGGGAGATCAGTAGTCCATGCAGAGGAGCAAGAGCATTCCAGGCATGGGGAACAGTCAGAGAAAATGCCTGGTGCCAGAGTAATAGGAGTGTCTTGCTTGTGGAAAAGTCAGGAGGTGATAGGCATCCACTAGAATGTGTTGGATAGGGCTCAATGGTCAGAATTTCTCTTTCAGATGATTTCTTGACAGCTGACTAGAGGATGGACTGGAGGGTGGAGAAACTTGAATCAGGAAAACCAATCAGGAGGCTAGTGCTAACCATCCCTTTGTGAAACTAGAAATTCTATAATTGGAATTTGATTCCTCAAACTTACACAAAACAGGGTTGCTGTTTATTCTCTATCAAAATGTAAATATGCAGGAAGGAGTTAGCACAATGAGCCTTATCAGTTTAATAGTTTAACAAAGAAAGAGTATCAGATCTGTTCAAGAGTGGGGGTTTTGGTTAGGGGAAGAATGGGAATAACCTAAGAACACCAGAGCCTGAGGAGGTCAGAAACCAGTTGAAAAAGAAGAGGATACCAAAGGCTGAGGCTAACAGTCAGTTTTTCCAACTGATGCTCCCTAAGACACATGCTAATTTAAGTTGTTGAGACTTCTTCTCCAACACCACCCCCCCCCAAACCAGTGGTGGATGATTCATTTGCTCAGAGCCAATTAATACACATCCAATTCCTCAGCTGACCTATAGCCCCAGGAAGGCTAGCTAGAAAGATGTAAGAAAGGGGAATGGGAGGGGGGTGTGTGTCTGTCAAGTCTGTAGTCATAGAAAACATTAGTAGGGGGAAATCTACTAGTGGCCAATTTGTGACAATTTGACATTTGGCTCATTTAATCTGGCCATCTGGCTGGGTGTGTGTGTGTGTGTGTGTGTGTGTGTGTGTGTGTGAGAGAGAGAGAAAGTCAGTTTGCCAGCAAGAGGATCACCCCTATTCCCCAAGCACACTTTGAACATATATGTAATTTATTATATATAATGAATATATACATATACATGTAATTTTCTTTCGCTTCCACATCCATAATAGCTCTCTATTTTTATCAATAGGACTTAAAACCCCTGGAATTAGTTCAGTTAATGGAGATCAAGTTGTTTTGAAATTTACAGCCCTAAATGTCCCGGAATCCTCAATTACTTTACAAGATGGGGCGGGCGGGGAGGGGTAGAGTTAACATCAAACACCAAATAACATTTTTTCAAAGTCATCGATTTTCTCCCTCTAGTTTCTCCACAACTGTGGGGGGCGGGGGTGGGGGGGACTGTAATTATTTAAATAAAGTCAGGCAAGTACACCTTAAGAACAAACTTTTTTGGCTACCAGCAGGGGAGCTCTTCAGCATTTTTCCCTAGACCCATTCAAACAAAAGAAGCCCCGGTTCCCTCGCGTCACCCACCCCACCCCCTCGGCCTGGCACCCCAAGGGTAGCCTCAGACTGTGCCCCACCTCCATCCCATGAGCCATACTCACTTCTCAAAGCCCCAATAAGCAAGGATCCGTCCTTGATGAGCTCTTTAATGAATTTATTAGTTCGTTCCAGCTCAATCTCGTGACACTGCAGACGCTCCCTGAAGTCTGGGCTGTCCAAGTAGGAATCACTGAACTCCAGAGTGGGCAGCCCCATGGCACAGACGCGACGCCGGCGACAGCAGCCTGGGACTCTTCAAGTCAAGTAGAAAAGAAAGCCAGTTAGGGAATCTAACCCCGGACAGACCTAGAACCGAAGCAGGAAGGCGGCAGGAGGAGGGCCGGAGGGCGCAGGGAAAGGTGCACAGAAAATGGGGGCCCCCCTCCCCCGATCCTGCACCTCCTCGGGGCGCTTCTTTGCAGGGATTACAGCAATTCCCCCCGTCTCAATCTCCACCGGAGGATGAGGGAGGGGAAGTGCAGGCGGATAGCAAAGGAGTGGGTCGAATTAGGTGGCTGTCATATGGTTGCATTGTTGCTCCGGGGCATGGAGGGCTCCTCAGTCTCGGGACTCCTAGGCTAAAACTGGAAAGTTTCTCTGGCTACAGCGGCTACGGCTGCTGCTTTTGCGGCTGCTTGCAGACACTTCCGGCAGCTCCGCGTTCCCTCTCCCTCTCTCCGGACAATCTTTTGCTATGTGAGCGCTGAAATGCTCCACAGCCACTGTTCGGGCGTTGGAAACCCTCCCCCCAAGCGGACACAAGCCCTGAGAGTGGTGCGAATTGTGTCCCAGGCTCGCAGACCCTCCCCCTGACCGCTTCACTGTTACCCGGCTCCACCCCGCCCCTTTTACCCCTTTACCCTCTTCACCCCCACCCACAAGCCACCCTTCTCCACAGTGGAAGCCTCACTCAGGCACACAAACACACCCTTTATTACTTTCCTGTCTGGCCGCATCTTTGCTATTAACCCTACCCCCTCCTCCTCACCAGGCTCCAGCCCACCCCGCCTTACCGGCTGTGACCTATTGCTATGAACCCCACAGTTCCCTGTCCTTCAAGAGTACCCGAATTCCTTAGTTCCGAAGTCCTTAGTTTATCTCCACCCCTGGAGAGATTTGCAATTAGATAACACTTCACAAACAGAATGTTTGGAAAAAATATTTGCTGGAGAGGGAGAGTCGAGAAAAGTTTTAGGACCCAAATTTTTGGCCTTACGTAGCCTTCTCCCTGCTCTAACACACATGCGCCCCCTTTTATTCTGTCTGGACTTATTTCAATTCCAAGATGGAGCAATTTAATTACTTTTTGTCTAAAGAAAAATAAATCGCTCTGCATTATAAAAGAAAGCCCCACAGTCCTGAAAGTTTTTTCCCCGTCAAGTTTCTTTACGTGGAAAGATGAGCTAGAGGCTTTCCTTCTCCTCTTCCTCCTCCTACTCCCACCCTTACCCATGAATTGCAAGTTTAACCTCCAGCAAAGCTCCCTTTAGTGGTGAGATTTTGTTAATTTTCTTTACAGAAAAAGGTCCATTTATTCAACTGTGAGACCTTTTTTAAAAATCTTGTTTACCTTTTCCCAACAGCTGTTTGGATTAAAAAATTATAAAATGGGACCCGAGTACAAAATTAATAGTCCTCTGCTGTAGCTACTCCTGGTGGTTTCAATGAATAGGATTCTTTCCTCTTGAAATACCTGCATAAAAAGAAACTGCTACTTAACATCAATCTCATACAGTCAGCCTATATGGTTTCTGAGAATTCGGACTTTTTTTTTTTTTTAAAAAAAGGATCTGTTTTTAATTTATATGTTTGCATTGCTTTGTCCCTGTGAACCATCTGTTTAAAGACTGTATTAGTCAGATCATGGGAAAAATTCCATTAAATTCCATTAAAATGTTTTACAATTTTCTCCCAATTAAAACAAACTTTGTGGACCTTCAAGATTTTTTTTGGTTTCAAATGATTTTTTTAAAAAGGATTAAGACAAACAGATAAGATAAAAATGGATGAAATAATTATTCTGACTTAAATCCATACAGGGCAGAAAATAGAATTAATGTCCTTCTGTCCATAACTTACCTCATTATTTCTAAACACATTACGGCCAGGATGGCCAAACACCAAGAGAATCGCTTGAATTCTGAGTATTCTGATTTTCTGTGTCTTTCTGTGAAATATTATGCTTTAATGTATTTAATGCCTCCATTCTTCATTTCCAGAGTATGTGCCACATGTTGAGGAGAGACTGGCTGCTCTTCAGGCAGGATGATTTTACATCTGTTCATAGCACAGCCACAAAGGAAAAATCAACCGTGCCAAACAAATAGGTCCCTTTAAGCTTTTTCCAAGGGGTAGCCAAAAAAATCATAAATCTGATGGCAGCTGTTCAAAGATGGAAACAGGATGAAACTTTCACAATCTATTGTAAACAGTACCTGTTGGTAAGAAATGAATTATTTCACTTAGGGACAACCCTCTAAGTATAGTTAAAACAAGATCAAGAATTCATTAAATTAAATTTTAATCAACAGCAATGTTGTGGGTAATTTTGACTCTGGTCTAATTTCTCCTATGCTAAAACAGATTTGTTTTACATCTGAGTTTACTGAATAAATAAGAGCTTGCATAGGTAATATGCATTTTTTTAATCAACATATTTTGATGAGGTTGTGAGGTGTGTAGGGGTGTGTGCAGTATACAGAAAAGAATAAGATAGCTTCTGCCTATAAGAAACCGAAGAATCAAGAAACAAGGTACAGAGTATCTATATACCAACTGCCCATTTCATAAGGAAAACTTTTTTTTTGGTTCATACTTATATTTCAACTCAGTCTTGGTTTTTAGTTTCTTGTGTATGGTTTTTCAATAGGAGACAGCTGGTGTCAGTTGGAAAAGCTCACTGGCCCAGAAATCAGGAGGTCTGGGTTTAAGCTCTGGCTTTACTGCTAACCTTAGGCAAGTCATTCTCTGGGCCCAGTTTCTTCATCTGTAAAATGAGGGGGTTGGATTATATGACTATTAAGGTCTCTTCTAGATTTAATATTCTTGCTTCCACTCTGACATTCAAATGTTAAAATGGATTGTTATTTGCAGGTGCTTTGGAGGCCTCCATTCCCTCTCCCCCTTGTGATTTCATCTGGGTTAGGAGCTCTCTGGTAAGGAAATTCTCTCAACCAATGAAAATCAGCAATTTATTTTTTCATTTACGGTCTTGGAGAGATTAAGTAACTTGTCCAAAGTGCTTAGAGGCAGTAAATGTCAGAGGCAGAATTTCCACTCAATTTGTCCTGACTAGGAGGCCAGTTCTCTATCCACTAGGACAGGAGGGGCAGCATAACATTCTTAGTAGGCTACTAGTGACTTATTGCCATGGTTTCTACTTTAATTATAAGGGCTGGTCAGGCTTCTTCTGCAGCTTTAGTGACAGTGAAAAGGACTTTGAATTTGGAGGAAGGATGGTACAGTGGAAAGAGTACCATCTCTAGAGTCAAAAGACCTAGGTTTTAAATTCTGCCTCTGATATTGACTACCTGTGTGACTTTGAACAAGGAACAACCCCTCAGGGCCTCTGTTTCCTTCTGTCCTGGGCCAGATAACCTCTGATGGCTTTTCAACTTTATATCTATGATACTATGACTCAAAAGGGTAAACTTTGCAATCTATTACTTGTATGATTTTGGGCAAGTTAAGAAGCATTTCTTAATTGCTTACTATGTACCAGGAACTGTGTTAAGTCCTGGGTATATAAATATAGGCAAAAATAAAGATAGTCCTTGCACTGGAAAATCTTACACTGAAAGGAGCTGAAAGGGAGTGGGGCGTCAGGAAGGTACTGGAGCATAAGCATGGTAGCAAAATCCAGAGTGAAGCAATGAGCCTTTCTTCAAAACAGAGATTGCAGAGAAACACACCAATGGGAGGAGGGGGGCTTCAGGGGCAGAAGAAGGGAGCCAAAGCATGGTAACCAGAAACTTCACTTAATTTCTTGGATCTAAATTTCTTCATTGATTAAATGATAGAACTGGACTAAATGATCTCTTTAGGATCCCTCCAACCCTTAATCTACAAAGCTATTTACACAGTTACTTGAGAGAAATAAGACTAGCTGTAGATTTGAGGCAGAATGTCTACTAAGTATCAATGTGTTGTATATTTTGCAAATACTGTGCTTTCCATAAAGTACTGTAGAGTTTCTACATTCAGTATCAGAATCAGGACAACCTTTTTGTCTGAAAGTTCTTTCAAATAAAAGACCTTATCTGTCTACATTGTTTTACTGCAAAGTGGAAAAAATACCTTAATATTATTCTATCTTATACAGTTGGTTTTACATACAGGATGGCCAGGGAAGGTTATCAATAGACAGCTAACTGGCCAAGTAAGTAGTAAAGGGTGATATTTTAATTTTAATTTTTGGAGCGGGTATTGTTTATATTATTTTTAAAAAGAAGAAAAACCAAAGAAAGAACGTAGATTGATAAATTAATGTGTTAGCAAGTCTGCTTTAAAACTAGAATTATTAGCCAACATGACATCTTCATTGGTTGTATAGATGCTCATTAATTTAACCACAAAATATTCTAATATAATACTTCCTGGTGCCTTCAGAGTTTAAGAATGAGATTGCTTCATCAGCTGGACAGGTTTAGGACTCAGGCACTGATAAAGTTCAAATTCAAGTCTACCTAGTGAGTACAAGTTAAAATTGCTATTTTATGTTATGTTCCTTTGTCTTTCATTTCAAGATGATTTTTCAGATAACATGGCCTGTGGGATATACTGCTATACCTGAGCAGAGAAGTGCATGTTCCTTGGTCTTATCTGTTCTTGTACTCAAGCTACACATAGTCTGTCCCATAATTTGCAGGCTCTGTCACCACCTGCAGCCCTACCTAAACCTTTGTGTTATCTTTTCCCAAAGAATGTTCCTTGAGGGCAAGGATTGGATAATTTTAATTGGACCTTGTATCATTTAGCATAACAGAACCCAGCAGCACCCACATAGCATAACAGCATTGCATTCAAATGCACAATATGTGGCTGAAGTAGAAAGAGGAGACTGCAAAGAGGAGATAACAAAGTGGTTTATTTCCAAAACACCATGAAGGGAAATTTTTATTTCAAAGCACCAGACTTTCCAAGATAAAATTTAGAGGAGGAGAAATATCACATGCAAAACTGATCCCATTGACATTTGCTGAGATTTCAAAATTCAAATTGTTCCAATTCTAATTCTATTATCTTGCTGTATATGAACATGAATAATAAGGCTGATGTATACATTCAGTGATTTTCCCATAACTGTGTGTATATGTATATGTGCCTAGTAAATCTGATAGCAATTATTCAAAAGTAAGAGACACACAAGAAAAATTTTACCATACCTGCTGGCAATTCTATAAATTTGACAGAAAAAGAAAAAGAATTCATTAAGTGAATTTTTAATGAACAGAATCTAATATGTTCATTTACCAATATATATTCTTATCTTTGATTTTTCCTCTTTTTAAAAAAACCACCCATTTTCTAAGAATTAAGAACTCAAATGGAGATATCTCCTTTTTGTGGTCACTTGGCCAACTAATCTGTCAATAACATTCACTGACCACCCTGCCTGGAGTTTACGGTACATGTAACCATGTATGTAGGCATTTACAGTCTCTTATCTATCTAGTGGCTTTGATCTAGTCATGTCAAAACACTGCTAAAAAAAAATTCTGAGCAGTTCCTTATTT